TCTCTCTCTCTCTCTCTCTCTCTCTCTCTCTCTCTCTCTCTCTCTCTCTCTCTCTCTCATATCCTGTATTGTTTCTCATTGTCCTTCTGTTGTCTCTGTCTGTTTTGCTTTTTGACTTTGCCTTGGTATTGTATGTTTGTTTCTATGTGCATGTTGTCTGTAGCCCATCCAAATCAAGTAAATATTTTTCCTACTCTGCATTGTCTTTTGTCTCTTGTAACCCCTCTAATCTTCGGCTCTTGTAGGACCTAAATTGTGCTGCAAGTCCATAAAACTCTTACTAAAACAAAATCATAAGTCGAAACAAATCAAGTAATAATACTATTCTCCCTGGTTTTTTAAATTACAAATAATGGATCCCATTGTGGACATTTAGCTTAGTTGGTGATAGAAAAAACTGACGAAACAGTTTTGATTGACCTGTCCCGCTGTAGTCTTGTTATGTATTGACATGTCATTTGATCTTGTTCATCCCCTCGCAGTGGGTGGTTGGCAGGTGCTCTTGTGTGGTCTGCTCCATATTTCTATCAAACATCTATCGTCTTTATCTCCCCTCCTTTTTGTGTGTTTGTTACTCTCTTGTCTGGATCGATAACAACGTTACTCTCTTGTAACACCTTTAATTTTTAGCATTAATATGACCTAATTGTGTTGCAAGTGCTGTAAAACTTGTACTAAACAATGACTTTAATTCCCCCCCCCCTCTCCCTCTACAGGTGTTGCTATGGGTATTGCCGGTAGTGATGTGAGTAAACAAGCCGCCGACATGATCTTGCTGGACGACAACTTTGCATCCATCGTCACCGGTGTCGAGGAAGGCCGTCTGATCTTTGACAACTTGAAGAAGTCCATCGCCTACACCTTGACCTCCAACATTCCCGAGATTTCGCCCTTCTTGTTGTTCATCCTTGCGGACATTCCACTGCCCCTGGGAACCATCACCATCTTGTGTATCGATCTGGGAACTGACATGGTACCTGCCATCTCTCTGGCTTACGAGCAGGCTGAGTTGGATATCATGAAGAGAGCTCCTCGTAATCCCTTCACCGATAAGTTGGTCAACGAAAGGTGAGTTTACTGGAGACTTTCACTTTTTTTTCTCAAATTCAAGTTGTCACAATGGGTGAAAGGGCTTATTCTTTGATTTTTTTTCAAATGTCAGGTGAATTCATTTCTGTTTTTAAAATGATGATTTTCTTTTGGTCAGAAAATATTTTTATTTTTACTGTTGTATTGTTAAGTGCTGGGTGCCTGTGTACTTTAATCGGGGTTGACAAAATTCTGTCATCCTCTCGTCTTGGCTTCTTCTTTTCTTCGTATGGGACTCTCTAGTTACAGAACTGGTCTTTGGCACTTAAATGACCTATTTGTGTTGCAAAAACCTGTCACTTAAAAACAAAATTGATGTGCCAATAAAAGTCACTTTTGACTGTTATAGTTCTTTGCTTGAAAGATATGCTAATGGATGGGTGGAGGGGCTGCTGGTAGGTCCCTCCTCTTTACCTTCCTTCTGTTGTTTCTGTCTGTCTCTAGTGTACTTTTAGCACTAAATGACCATTATTGTGCCAGTATGCTCCTTTTTACTGCAACAAAGCAGAGATGTGCTGGTATTTAGTATATATATCTGCTATTTGTACTAACTTCTGCACCTGCCCCCTCCCGTCCTCAGACTGATCAGTATGGCCTACGGTCAGATTGGAATGATCCAGGCTTCGGCTGGTTTCTTCACCTACTTCGTCATCATGGGCGAGAACGGCTTCTGGATGTCCACGCTGCTGGGTATCCGTAAGGAGTGGGACTCGCTGGGTATCAACGACCTTGAGGATTCCTACGGTCAGGAGTGGGTATGTACACACATACACACACTCACACACACACACACACACACGCACACTCACACACACACACACACACACACACACACACACACTCAAACACACACACACACACACACACACACACACACACACACACACACACACACACTCACACACACACACTCACACACACACACACAACACACACACACACTCACACACACACACACAACACACACACACACACACACACACACTCACTCACTCACGTGGTATTTTTTAACATGTTGTTTGTTTGTCTTTGTCTGTGGTCATTCTTCTTTCCTATCGGGGATTGTCTATATCTTTTTTAAATTTTAGTCCTGCTTTGTGCGCGGTCAATTATCTGAATACATCGACTGCTCAGTGTTAGTGTAAGACTTCATTATATTATATGTCACTTTTCAAAATGACACATGGTGGAGTTTTACTTTGCTGTCGATATCTTGTTTTATTTTATTTTATTTTTTCGCCCTGTTCTTTTTGTTCATTTGCTCATCGTATCTATCTATAAAAACACCTGTCCTAATGTGGTTCTGAAGGTTTTAATTATCAAGATTGTCAAGAAATATAGCCTCAAGTTTTCTCTTCTCCCCCCCCCCCCTCTCTCTTTCTCCACTCCACACCCACCTTTCATTTTTTTTTTTTTTTTTCAAGTGCATTCAAACTCAACTGAAACTTTAAAAAAAAAGCCTCTGTCTACTTTCTCTCCTGCTCTCTTCCCGAACCCTCTGTTCCCTCCTCCCCCCCCCCCCACCCCCTCTTACACACACACACACACACTTTTCTATCTTAAATTGTTTTGGTTTTTCCGTGGTTGCTAACCAATGTGCTTGCCTCCCCCACAGACCTACTCCCAGCGCAAGAAGCTGGAGTACACATGCCACACAGCTTTCTTCGTGGCCATCGTAGTGGTGCAGTGGGCTGATCTGATCATCTGCAAGACTCGCCGTCTGTCTCTCTTCCAGCAGGGAATGAAGTGAGTTGTCTTTGTTGTCATCACTTTCCTCCTTTTTTTAAATTTGAAAGTGTAACAATCCTCTTGGGATGTAAACTGTGGCAGTGGAGACGTAAAATGTGGGTAGTTGGAGGGTGCCACTGGTAGGTCTTCCTTATATACTTTTTCCTAGGTTGTTCTGTCTGTCGGTCTTGCTTTTTCCCAGCACTAAGTGACGGTCATTGCGTCATGTGCTTCTCTTTACTCAAACGAACAACGTCTGTTTACAATAACTTAAAATTAACTTCTAAATACGGCATATCAGGGCCTTCATTGGGTAATCAGTACTGGGTTCTTATTCTCTCTTTTCAGTTTGCTGCTTTTATGCCATAATGGACCATATCTTTCTTTTCTTTCCATCAACGTTTTGGTTAATTTGATATTTACTATTTGTTTTTCTGGATTTGTTGCCGCAAGTTTTCTATTATTTGATTCTTGAAAGCCACAGCCTTGATAGTTTAATAGACGAGGTATTGGCGAGATATGTTATTATACGGCATTTTCCATGCGTTGTAGCCCAGAGTTGTACGTGAGTAATTCTGAACGTGTTCTGTTTGTTCTCCCCTGCAGGAACCACCGTCTTACGTTCGGTCTGTTCTTTGAAACTGCTCTGGCTGCGTTCCTGTGCTACTGTCCTGGACTTGACAAGGGTCTGCGTATGCAGCCTTTGAGGTGAGTCACGGCCGTGAATGAACGAACTGTTTGTTGTAGCGCTGGTCAGTGTGCTTGTTTTGTATACTTTTGTCTTTGTGTGTGTCTCTTTTGTCGTGTTTCTTTCTGATATAATATTTTCTCTCTCCACTCCCCTCCCCTGTGTCTCTGTCACTTGTGTTTCTCTCTCTGTGTGATCTCTATCTCTACATCTTTCTCTCTCTCTCTCTCTCTCTCTCTCTCTCTCTCCCTCCCTCCCTCCCTCCCTCCCTGTTTATTTGCCTCTGGTTTTTTTTTCCTTTTGTCCTCTATAAATGGAAAAAGGAAGAGAATGGCAGATAAGCAATTCAACATAATGTGAAAATAAATGTTAACCTTTAAATCTAGCCCCTAAAATTTGAAAGATGTTAGAAAAAGACAACCCCGAATGAAATTATTGTTTCTTTCAAATGAAATTTTCCCCAAGAAATGTGTTTGTTTTTTTCTCAAATAAAATTACTGTGTTTGTGTTTCTCTCAAAGTAATAAGTTGTATTTAGTTTTTTCTCAAAGAAAATTGCTGTGTTTGTTTTTCTCAAAGTAAAATTGTTTTGTTTTTTTGTATACAGGTTCACCTGGTGGCTGACGGCAATACCGTACAGTTTGACCATCTTCATCTATGACGAGTGCCGTAAACTGATCCTGAGGAGAAACCCCGGCGGCTTTGTGGAGCGAGAGACCTACTATTAGTTTCCCCGCATTTTACACGTGTGCGTGGGCTCGTGCGTTGTGGGGCGTGTTTCATCTGCTGGCCTAGCTGAGCTGCTCACCAGTGTGTCTGTGTAGGTCACATGAAGAATGTAGGTCAGACCTGCAGTGTTCTATTCTCAAGCGTGCGAGGTGTAGGGTCGGTAGATGGCCCCACCCCCCCACCCCACCCCACCCACCCACCCACAGCGCTGTGCAACACAGCATTCTGAGGAGGGAAGTGATTTCTCTGGGCTTGTATACGCGGGAATGGGAATAGGCTTGTGAGTGTTTGCAAGTGCGAGATATAGTATGATGGTTGTATGTGTGTGTGTGTGTTTGTGTGTGTGTCTGTCTGTGAATGAGAGTGTTAGTGTGTGGGTTGGCTGGGAGGGCTAGAGTTGTCTGGTTGGTTGGTATGATAAGCTGCGGTGAACGTTGTTTGAGCGTGATGCAGATAACAATGATGACGGTGATGATGATTCTAATGAAGATGATGGTACGTCTGTACAGTATCTAGGCACGGTATTGTCCGAGTGTTAGTTGCTTTTGAGCAGTCTGCCAAGAGTGAAAAGTTTTAGCCTACGAATAATATCGATGAAATGACGATGATGGCTGTTTCTTGTTGTTTTCTTTTTTTTTTTCTTTTTACTATTAATCTCTCTGGTAGCAGTGTGTAAGTGGAGGAGTGAAGTAAGAAGCCTATGCGTTTTTTTTACAGACTAGTTGTCAGTCAATAATATATCATGGGCTACGTGCAACAGTTAACGTTTGCCTTTTATATATTTCCATTGTATGTGTGTGTGTGGGCACAGCTGGTAGTGCACGGGTTGCGATCACTGCTCTCACTGTTTTATCTCATCCAAGTAGGACAGGAACACGTGTGTAAATGTGAGTTGAGGGCTGTCTGCATGGAAAAGTAGTGTAGAATTATTATCGACAACAGTAATAATTTAGAAAAAAAAATTTCAACATGTCGGCAGGCCCAGATTTGTTAGTTTTTATCAGGTCGATGTTTTTATTATTCAAGAAATTTTACCCATTCTCTCTGTCTCTCTCTCTGTCTCTTCTCTCTTTCTTCTCTCTCTCTCTCTCTCTCTCTCTCTTTCTCTCTCTGTCTCTCTCTTTCTCTCTCTCTCTTTCTCCACTCTTTCACTCTGGAAAGGAAAGTGTAATAGTGAGTTCACATGATCATATACTTAATCACCTCAGTGTATTTATGTGTCTGTGTGATGATACTATGATGCATGGGGTTGGTGTTCCTTTTACGTATAATATATTGATTGATATATATATACTGCACAAAACGTAAGTCTTTTTGTTGAATACTGTAGATTCTCAATGTGCGTGAGGTTCAGATGGCAGTGAGTCCTGTTTGTTTTTCCCATACAACAGTTGAGTTTTTGTCTCCTCCCCCTTGTCAAGGTACATGCTAGAGTTTGGTATGTGTTAGTGTGCACTGAGCCCCCCAACCCCACCCCCTGGGCTTTTGTACATGGATCGGGTTTTCGGTTTTTTGTACATGGATCGGTTTTCGGTCACCACTATGCAGATCTTTTGATTTATTTTTGGTTTTTGTTGTTTTTCAATCTGTCGCAGTTATGTGAAACTACTCCTGTCTCCTCCCCCCTCCCCACACCCCCACCCACCCACTGTACCCTTTACCACCTCCTTGTCAACTTGGGGGGGAGAATTTCTCTAGCTATGGTGAGGTAATGCTTGTACCAGTTGAGTAAATTCGGAAGCAGATAAATTTATAGTCAGGGGGGAAGTAGGTCTCATTCCTAGTTTGGCCCTCGCAGAGAGAGACATTTGTCACTGTGTAATGGGGAAAACTGTCCCGTCTTTGCATATTCTTCAATAATGTCCCATTTCGGAAAAGGTATTTTGTCTTCATATTTTAACCTAGAACGCATGGATTTTCATAGCAAGGAGGATGATCTTTATTTAAACGGTGTTCAATAAAACTTTGGCCAGTGCTTACTATGGTAACTGGTGTAATGTTTCTATCTTCTCTTGGTTATTTCAACATGTTTCCACCATTCCCACCCCCCCCTCCCTCGTTGTGTATATCATCCATTGACCTGTGTCCATCATGGCAATAGTATTTCACCTTGTTGTGTAGATACTTTGACAGAAAAACAAACAAACCTTGTGATGCTGAGAGCGAAGTGCATGAGTCTTCGGAAAATGTCTTATCAAAGAAACAGTGATAACTTGGTATGGTTTTATGTATTGGATCTAGCTAATGTTTTTTTTTGTTTTGTTTGTTTGTTTAAGATCTACATATTGTGCATTGTGCATGTTTAGGAATGGAATGAAACTGTTTACAGACATTGATGATTGATGCTATGTTCTGAATAATTAGGATTTTTGTACATGTTGTCATTGTTCTGACTGTATGCTTTGCGCCCCTTACTTTGTACACGTTAAATGTTAGAATCGAACTAAGACTCTTTGTAATGTACACTTGATTTTCCTTCTTCCTCCCGTCACCCCCCCTACTCTTCACCCCACCCCACCCTTCCTCATCAACTCGCGTCACCTCGTTAAGCGCACGCTTGCTTCAGTCGGCCTTGAAGGGGCAGCTGATGCGCTGGACTATTTCTATCTTTCGATTCAAGTTGTCAGCGCTTTGTTGCGCCAGTCACTCTGCTTCTATTTTCATCTCTCTCCCTCCTGATATTTTGTTCTCTTCATTTGCGCTTCTTTTTGAATGGATCATGAAGGTCATGAGGCAGACACTCTGATGCAACCAGCGTGGATCATCCAGCACTTGTGCATTTACCTGTCCGCTTCTCTTGTGTATAGAAACATAATAACCAAGATAAAAATTTTTTTTTTCCATTTTGATTTGTTTTTGTTTTTTTAAATTTTCTTTTAACGCTTCAGTTTTTACATCTAGTAGAATATACTGTTGTTTTGTAGGTCATTTCAAATTGTTTTGTCATCAGTTTTGTGTTGTGCCCATCCCTCCTCACCATATTTGGTAAAACATTATTTTTTTTTTGCTTTTTTAAAAAACGATTAAAATGAAGCCTTTGTTGTGTTGGATATTTCATCATCCATCTCTCACCCCCTAGAGCAATGTTCATTGTGCACAAACTGATTCAGTTGTTAATGTAGAACTGTGACCAAGTTGCAAGGAGCACTTACCACGGGTGGGGGGGGGGGGGGGGGGTATTTTAGGATCTTGACAACTATCAAATTTTTTAAGTGTAAAAAAAAAAGGAACATGCACACAAACAAACCCGAAAAAAAATTGGAAGAAAAAAAGACGGCTGTAGGTGGAAAAAAAAGATGTGTGTTTAGGCCTGTGAACAAAATGGACTTGTGTCCATGGGTTTCACTTTGGCTGATCTTTCAGAGCTGCAAGTCAAATGTTGTTCTGCAGTTTTATACACCTTCCCTCCCCTCCCTTTTTAATGTAGTGCGGGCCGGCTGAGTGCATGGGACCATGCTATCATCTCTTGTTCATTCCTCGGCCTTACCCTTTGCAAGGATCGGAGTTTGTATCCCAGACATCTACAGCCTGAAAACTTTTATTGAAGGTCATGTGGTTCAGTGAAACAATTTGGAAACACCCCCACCCCCCCGTCCCATAATCATTCATTAATTCATATCTGAATAAAATTTAATCCTAGAAAAGTACCTGATCTTTGTTTTGTTGGTCATTCCTGATGGCAGTCGTGTATTGTGTCAGAGAATATTTTTTTTCCCTCCCCCTTCTTTTCTTTTTTCCTCCTGTGCAACAGGCTTTGTTCTTAGACACAGATGTGTTGTCATTTCTTTTTCTCCCAACCAGCACATTCCAAATAATTACCTCCTCCCTGTGAAGTGAAAGACTTTCTCTCGCCCTTTGTGACGAGCCAACAAACTTAGGGGAGTAGACGCAATGGATCTCTGTAACCCGTAGTCATCCGGCTCTCCATATCAACAACAATATATTGTCCTGGATCGCGCTTTTGTGGATATTTGTGATCGTGATAGACGGACATGTAAATCTGATTTGTGGTGAATGAAATTTATTTTACTATTTGAAAATCTTTTAGAATATTGAGCCGCAATCGATCGATTGTCTACATGCACACGCTGTGTGTAAGTGTATAGTACCAGTGTTTGCAAGCTGTGCTTTATTGAGAGAGAATACCAGAGAATGAGAAAGAAAAGTAACTCGCTTTGATTATTATAACAACACTACTCAGGGTAGAAGAAACAACTCCCATCACCAAACATTCTGTGCTGTTGACTCCTTCCTTCCCCTGTTTGATAACAAAAAAACTACCAATATTTAAACCATTTGTCTGGTTTTGTGTTCTCCTTCCAAATCTGAGATAGCTTGTGAGAATGCGGATGTCACCCTTCCACCAACTCCATCAGAGTTTTGAAATTGAAAACAAGTCGATCGCTGCATAATTTACATTGAGCCATTTGCAAGTAGATTATCTCCTGACTTGTTTGAGTATACTCTTTTAAAAGGGAATGGTCGTTCTTTGTGATGTGTCTTAGAAACTCATAATTTACCTGTAGGTTATTTGTTAAAAGTTGTGTTAAAATTATTTTCTGTACTTTTAATGCAACATATTCAAAATAAAGATCTTATTCTCATCACTCTGTCATCTGGCTTTTCTATGTGCTGGCATTTTTCATTAATTATATTTATTTATTTTTTTATTTGTATTTTCAATTAGATTTTTTTTTTTTTGGGGGGGGGGGGGGGGGGGGAGTGGCAGTGTTTCTAGAGATATTAAAGCTGGGCGAAGAATTGATTCGGGAACTGATTCCCACGATTAATGCTACGGAAGAAAAGTTCCGACTCCTTTTTTCGAAAACCAACACTTACCAGTTAATTTAATCATTGAAGTCTTTTTTTTTTAGAATTTATTTTTGGAAAATAAAATTTGATGCTTCGTAGTGTTAGGCTATCCTATATCCTGAAGATGTTTCGAGCCAATTAGGTTACCACCGAAAGAAATCACAACATTATTTAGTATTTAGACAGTAAGTAATTTGGTCAGGAGTCGATTCCTACGATTCCTAACCTAGCTTTCAATAATCGGGAACCTAGCTGCCCAGCACGACAAGATATGTGGGTGGTTTGAATGTATTTAAGTGTGGTTTGGTCCTTCGATCTTGCACATTTTCTCTCGTCCTTATTCTCTCCTCCTCTTTTGTGTTCGTTACTCTCTTGTAACGCTCCTGGTCTTCGACACTTACGACCTTTTTCTGTTGCAAGTGCTTAAAACAACCTTATATATATAAACAAAAAAAAAACGAATTAATGATGATTTTTTATATTTTATTGAAAAAATATTTACTTACTGATTTTTTTATTATTATTATTATTTATTAATTATTTTATTTATTTATTTAATTGTTGTTGTTGTTGTTTTGGGTTTTTTTGGAGGGGGGGGGGGGTGTCTCTTGATGACCTGTTGGACTGTGGTACAGTAGACCATTGTTGGAGCTCCAAAGGGCTGTACGGTTGTTGATCTTAACGGTTCTCCCAGTGACACGTTTCGTCTTGCTCCTCCTAGAGACTGGGTGTTTCACACTACTGTGGGTGGTTGGCGGGTTGTCTGGTGTGGTTTGCTTCTTCTTTCCTATCAAACATCCTATTATTATCCTGATCTCTCTCCTTTCTTTTTTATGTTTGTTACTCTCTTGTCACACCTCTAATGTTCGGCACTTGTATGACCTTATTGTATTGCAAGTGCCGTAAAACTCTTACTAAAAATTTAAAAAACAGTGACACATTTCGTGTAGCTCCAAAAGACTGAATGTTTCACATTCTTACTCTCTGGTAAGTCTGATGAGAAATATCGTCGTAGTAGTAGGTCTCAAACCCAGCCAGCGATTCTCTCTGATCGTGTGATAGATAAAATCTAACACCTAGCTTTCTCGGATAAGGACGAAAAATCTCGGTGGTCCCGTGTGCATGATCCTTTTGTACCGGTAGTCCAAAATCGATAAGAGTCTAGAGTAGGCATCGGCCGCTACCCGGGCAAAGTTCAAAATTTCCTACCAACTGAAAATGTTTTATATTATGTGTCCCGCGCGCTCATGACCTTTTATGCAGTTGCTAGCGCTATAAAACACTTAACACCCACCCCCAAAACCAAACAAACTAACAAATGTGGGTGGTTGGCGGGTGCTCTGGTGTGGTTTGCTTCTTCTTTCCTATCAAACATCTATCTTCCTTACCTCCCCTTTTTCTTTTTTATGTTTCTCTCTCTCTCGCTCAGTGGGTGGTTGACGGGTGCTCTGGTGTGGTTTACTTCTTCTTTCCTATCAAACATCTTTAGGTCTAAACCCAGTCACTAGTTTTGATACTTAGATCTTGATCTTTCACGATATCTCTCTATCAGACTGTAGGCGTGGGTGGTTGGCGGGTGCTCTGGTGTGGTATGCTTCTTCTTTCCTATCAAACATCTATCGTCCTTATCTCTCCTTGTTCTTTTTTATGTTTTTTTACTCTCTTGTAACACATCTTATCTTCTGGTGCTCATATGACCTTATGCAGTTGCGAGTGCCGTATGTAAAACCTTACTAAAACTAACTAAAACTAAGACTGTAGGCCGAGAGGGTGTAAAATACCCAGTCACGGGGGGGGGGGGGGGGGGT